CACACACACACACACACACACACACACACACACACACATAAATGTGTGTTCGAGCAACAAAGCAGCAAAAAAGCGAGGAGCGGTCAGGGCAGAAGACGTACAAGGTGGGCAGAAAGGAAGGGAGGAGGAGGAGAAGAATAGGCAAAGGGAGTCCAGGAAGAGGCGGAATTGGGGAAGGAAGACGGCGGGGCGTAGAAGAGATGAAACGAGAACATGTCGCATAGGATGGTGCAGGGGAATGAAGACTGACTTACCGTCTTGCCACGTTGAGCTTGGTGTCACTTGTCGTGATCGTGCAACGGGTGGCGTGCGTACGCCTGATCGTGTTGAAATACACGCCTGTCTCCCAAGCTAACCTCCCTTCTTTCTCCTGCCCGTTCTACCTTCTCCCTCTCTTGGGATCCACGCCTACTTTCTACGGTCACTCACCCTTTCGCTACATGCTAAACGACCCACCGCACAAGAGCATCCTCTTCTCAGAAATGAATCGCCCGCCGACCGACTACCAAACCCTGAGCGATCAACGGTCAGCTGCACGAGCGATGGTGAAAACACTTCGCGAACTCCAACACTTCGCGACCTCCGCAAGACGCCACTGCCTGTTTCCACTATCCACTGACCTCCCCTCCCCGCCTTTTCTCCTCCCCCGCCCCGACAAACAGCGGCTCTCTGTACCACTGAGTCAGGTAGTCAATGGATTCGTATTCACAGCCAGTACGGGGGCTAGGTCCCACTTACACGAATCAAGCGATTTTGACCGTAGATAGCAACGATCAACGGGCATAATCCCTTAACTTAATCCGTGCAAGTGGGACCTTGCCCCGGCTGTGTAACGCTGCGTAAAGTTGGGTTGCGTATAGCGAGCAAGTTGTGTGGTCATCTCCCTTCGGTCGGTGGAAGCGGACCGGTCAGCGACAGAGAGTTACCGGTCGGGAGGAGGCGGAAAAGGGGGGGGGCAGTGAGGTCAGGAGAAGCTATGTTGGGGCAAACCGGCGGGCGCGGTCCAGTTTTTGAGCTACAGTTTCGTACATAGGGGACGACCAGTCGGAAAGGGAGAGGGGTCCGTAGTAGATGGGAAAGAGGGCTACCTCTCACACACAAGGGAGGCATGGTCCCCCCCTCCCTAATCGGTGTCGGTGGTGGTCAAGGAGTAGGGTGGGGCCGCCGGTTGGCGGGGGTACTAACGAAAAGACCGAGCATTTTACCAGTAGCTGCGGTGTCTGTGGCCAGCACTCTCCCACACACCACACACATTGACTGACCGTGAGGACACGCGTGCACAGCCCGTAGTTTGTATGTTGATGTGGTGGTCCCATTTACGTATTATTAGTTTGTACGTTGATGTCGTTGTCCCATTTATACTGGTATTATTCCCGGAGACCTCTCCTAGAACAAACTGCTTCTGGTACCTCTCCTGGAACTGTTTCTTGTCCTGGTGCTACTGGGTAAGGAATCAGAACAAACTGCTTCTGGTACCAGTCCTGGAACTGTTTCTTGTCCTGGTGCTACTGGGTAAGGACTCTATCAGAAATGCTTGCCTGGTCTGGATTGGTGCAGGCAAGTGAATTCCAAAGATTAGCTTCAAAGGCAGTGATGTAGTACAAGGAGGAAGGGAATGCCGCCTCTCTTCTGATCTAGTGAACTGGGTTCATTTGCATCTTACTGGGCAGTTGGAAAAGCCAGCTGGGCAAGTTGCCCTAGACCACTTTGGGAGCTTAGTTTAACACATTTCCGTAGGCCGGACCTTGCCTGTGGCCGTGTGTGAGAGGAAGGGAATGGTGTTGCTCTTCTGATCTTGCAGTTTGCTGAGCTAGCATGAACTGGGGGGCTCAGTGGTATGGAAACCTGCTCAATGACATGACGCATGTTCAGTTGCATGATCCTGGTCAGTTACATAAACCAGGTTCAGTCACTCGGGCCTTGGAGGTTGAGTGTGATAGGTTTTGTTTCACACCTCTGATGCGTAGAACAGGAGGTTTCTGGTACGTTGGTCCTTCTTGGTTTTTGCAGTGTTAGTGCCAAGTGCAATGTTTGGTCAACAGGCAGGAACACATGTATAATATCCATATTAGGTCCATAGATGCCACTAACAGTGTTTGTGTCCATAAACCCTATCATGTTTTACCCGTTAGCACCAGTTCGACCCAGAGGAATGTAGTCTACAAAGTTGCATACCTGCTAGTATGGGGGGGGATATGTGTTTGTGTTCTCATGTCCGTTTTACACAACTCCACAAAAAAAAGAACATGATTGTGCTAGACTGCGTGTGTATGAGACTGTGTGTTTCCATGTTCACCACAAGAAAAAGCATAGTGCCAGATTGTTTCATTGGACTTTCACCAACTCATCAGGAAGTTGAACCCCAATGGTCTGTCCATGATGCGTTTGACGGGTGGACGATGACTCACCATAGTAGCCTTGAGAGAGTAAACTGGCCAACTTTACTCACACAAACCCTGCAATTATAGCAGACTGTCGGTCCAAAACCTTGATGAGAGTGACAGTAAGTCCGGGAAACTATAGTCTTCCCCCGAACAAGACGTACTTATGCACTATTCAATTTTCCTTGGAAAAGTCCAATTCTCAAAGTCGCCCCCTGAAATCCAAATAGTACGCACGTTAAAATAGTGCATACGTATGTTCTATTCGGGAGACGGATGCTATATTCAAACATAACAGATGGGTGTTGGCTCTCTCTCTCTTTCTCTCTCTCTCTCTCTCTCTCTCTCTCTCTCTCTCTCTCTCTCTCTCTCTCTCTCTCTCTCTCTCTCTCTCTCTCTCTNCTCTCTCTCTCTCTCTCTCTCTCTCTCTCTCTCTCTCTCTCTCTCTCTCTCTCTCTCTCACACACACACACACACACACACACACACACAGAGCACCGCCCTATCGATCCCTCGTGCTCACTCCCGCTGGCTCGCTCTCGCCCGCCTTCTTGGCAAGCTGTTGTGTTTTTTTGTTCCTTTTTTATACTTGGACTGTTTCTCGATTTATGTGTGTCATCTTTGTACAGAGGCCATGCTACTCCCGAATGACAAGTACGGATATAGGGTACTAATTTCTTTGGGGCATTGTTGTCCGGAAGTTGATACTATCTATCCGTATCATAACGCGTGTGCGATAATAGAACGCACCTCGTGCGTTTTATTCGTAATTAACGGACGTGCATTTTGTTCAAGGTGAAACTGTAATATGTTGCAGTAATAAAACCACTTCATACACTCACTCAATCATTGATACCTAATGGTATGACTGCTAATACAGTCTCGACCCTAGCCGCATTTGCATCGACCCACCTAAATGGAGAGTTCAAGATATGTTTGTGTGAGAGAGAGAGAGCAACATATACATTCAAAGCAACAAGCATGGAGAAAGGGAGAGAAAAAATCATTTCGTTAAAACAAATATTTTATGATTTTTGAATGAAATTGAAACGTACTTATTCAGTCATAAAAATGTCATTGTTGTAGCTCCCCCTCAGGGTTGTATGTACTCGGATACATCCAAGGAAGGTTGACGTTCTCATATAATGACATTTTTAGGGTCAAATAAGTAGGTTGCAAGTTCATTCAAAAAATATAATATGTTCGTTTAACAAAATGTTTGTTAGAGAGAGAGAGAGACATAGACAGAGAGAGAGAGATAGACAGACAGACAGATAGACACACAAACAAACAAAGAGACACACAGATAGAGAGAGAGAGAAAGAGAGCAACACATACACAACAATAATCAGAGAGAATGAGAGGTGATGATAATTATGAAAAGTGAAGAGGAGAAAAGAGAAAGCATGTTAAATACTATTAATTAAATTTTTTTTTTTTCTAAAAAAAACAGCAACCAAGATGTTGTTTGATGTCGATTTCAAGCATACCAAGATTTTAAGTGAATCATCTTTTTACCGTCAGTATGAGAATATTGTCAACATTTTTTTATATGTAGCTGGAGGTTTTTCCCATTTTTATAAAATCAACATTGTGTTGTTGAACATTTTTTTTATCTCTTTATTTATTATTATTATTTAATTATATAGGATAATAATGTTTATAGGAATTTACCTTTTATAAAAAAAAAACAAATGAAGGTCGCCGGTTAGAGTATGGGTTGAACTATGTTGATCTTGCTTTTATCAACTGAAGACTATGATATGTCTCCATGATTGATTGATCCCAAGGAGTTCAATTATTTGAAATGTTATTCATTCTAAAATTTTATCGTCACCACCAACAAATCAAAGTTTGAACTTTAGTTAGAGGCGTGTATCTGAACTTTGAAAAAAAAAAAAAAAAGTGCGTTGGAATAGAGAAACAAAAATGAGATAAATGACAGGGGGACAGCTAAAATATTGAGCAAGAAATCATAGCGACCAGCTCTTCAATAACAATTGCATGTTATTCTGAAGGATTTAGTATTGTTAATACTTTCACGGCAGCTTCAGTGTTTCCTCTTTGTTGCGCAAGGTGGTTCCACGGGTTCAGGGAGAGGATTTTTTTCACATAGGTTTGCCTTCATGTCAAGCCACGACGTTATCGCACCATCGACTGTCCATGGAAATCCACACCCACATATACACTCAATTTTTCACAACCCAGTACATACACATGTAAAGCTTTACTATTCACACACAGCAACACGTGCGCACGTGCATTCATGTGAAAAAATGTGTGTGTTGTCATGTTCACTATATGTAACTCCACAAGCAAACATCTCTATGCTATACTGTTTCGTCGAACTTTCATCAACTTAGTATGTGTCTAAGAGAGATAGAATTTTTTTTGTGTGCGCACTCGTGTGAGAGATAAAGACTCATTCGTTAATGTGTGATGGCATGGTCGCTATACAACACTGCAAACAAAAAACATAATTTTGCCAAACTCATATGTACGTGTATGAAAGAGTTAAAAAACATTTTTGCATGCCAACACGTGCACACGTAGGAAGAGGTTAACAAAGCCTTAAATTTGATGTGTTTTTTTTTAGGGTCATTATAATAAACGTCCCACATCTTTTAAGTCAGACTTGTCACCAATCCATTGAGTGTACACCAGATAAACCACTGACAAAAAAAAGTGTAAGAAGAAAAGATCAAAGTTGCCTTAAACCTCGAGGCAAAATTGTGTTTTTACGCAAAATTTATAATTTGTAGTTTTCAGGATTTACAGGGTTTGCCAAAACAGTAATTTCCAATACCCCAATAAACAACAAACTTGTGATGCGCATACCTTGACAAAAATAAAACAGAGTCCAAAAAAGAAAAAAGAAAGAAAACTCCTCAAATGCACTTTTTGGTGTGAGGGGTGTTAACCTGGAGATGAAAAGTGGTGTTCTTTGTTAACCACTTGTGACACGAGTGCGCGCGCGTGTGTGTGTGTGTGTGTGTGTGTGTGTATGTCTGTGTGTGTGTTTGTGTGTGTTTGTGTGTGTGTGTGTGTGTGTGTGTG